TACTGCATGTGTGCTATGTCAGGGGCTGCAGTTCAGTGACAGAGTAAGACAGAAGTCACTGCCTTCAAAGGACTAAAAGCCTGAAAGGGACATTTCAATAAATATTAGAAATAATAAAATCGTATGACAATTGCAATAAAAGAAGTATGTAAATCTGTAGCTTGGCACAGTGGAAGTGATCAGTCATTTAGAAGGACCAGAGAGCATTATGGAAATGATGCAATACCTACTATATTAATAAATGAACTCAAATCCTTCTGAAAAAATAGCCTTTATTTTCAGAGTTTCATGGAAGGAGTTATGATGGACACATATTCTCCCTTACTAACATTAATACTAGCCTGTTTCTATTTAACAGCTACGAATGCTGAATTTTCCCATTTCTACTGAAGTGTACCTTACAAGGTGTGGCTACTTACGCCATGGGCTAGTCAATTTTTCAGTTAAGTCTGTAAAGTGAAATTGATGAGTCTATGGAGAGGTCTTTCTATATTCATGAATGAGGTCAGAAAGATCCCAGTTCTATTAACAATAACAGGAACTACTGGTTTTAAACTTTTTTCCATATGCAGGTTAGAAATTAGGTTAAGTCATACCACTAGTAAATCTGTAGCAAGATCCCACAGGGCAATAAAAACAGTGAACACATTCATTTCTTGGCTTATATATGGAAAAAGTACATGGATGCCTGGGCTCCAAAGGAATAACTTTGTACAGTTCTGTTTGTAGATACACATGGTCTGTATAAACAGATGAAGGGTCCTTGGCTTCCTTTGGAACCAGGAAGGGTAGTGAGAGTCTAGCAGCCAAAAGCAAAACACTGATTGTTGGCTACGAACAAGATTGATCAACGGTCTGGGAGCTTCAACTCGCCATTCTATTTTCTTAGCAAGCACTTCATCTTGTGCCAGCCACTGCTGTGCACGCTGTTTGATTTTGGTGACTGGCTATTCATCATCCCCTGGTTTCCTCACCGAGTACAAGGGTGCCAACAACCCTGCTTGTAGCCTCAAGATAGCAGGTGGCAATGTTGGCAGTTAAACAGTCAGCAAGATGTCACTCTTACTTTTATTGCTTTGTTCCAGAAAAATGTAGAACTGAATGGGAGCCCATTTTCCCACCTCCCAAATTTTTTCAACTGTCAGATTGTTTGGGGAAAAAACAAAAAACTTAGCAACATAGAAGTTCCTTATAGCTCAAAGACACTAATTGATATTTATTTCAAGAACAAACAAATTCTTCATAGAAAGAGCCTCCCTAATATATCAGGGAAGAATTTTTCCCTGTAAAATGTAACATGGGAACTGTCTTTTGTAATAAGATTTTGAGTGGTTGATTGTTACATTGATTGATCCATTTATGTAATCTGCAGGGTTTCTCAACCTTAGCACAGTCGATGTTTTGGACCACATGTCATCCCAGATTAAAACGAAACATGATGAGAACACTGTCAATTCTCTGCCTAGATCCCTTCAGAATCTTTTTATGGTTTCTCTCTATGCATCCATCCCCCAGCCTCTCTGTACTGTGCTCCCAAAGGCTTACTCTCATACCTTGCTTCAGGGGACTGTCCTTGGGCGACTTGAACAGCTCTGTCCGCAGGTACAGAGATCTGGGAGTGTCTAGGAGATACTGGCTGTCAGGGTAGCTCATTGCTTATGGGATCAGCTCTGTGATGTAATTTCTGTTCTAGCCTTCCCTAGAGACTGACTGCAATTGGGACTTGGCTTGACTTCTCCTCTCTACACCCTCATCAACTTCTCCTGGCAGAACTTCCTTAACAATCTCCTACACAATCAGATAAGTATTTTGAAGAGGTCCCTCTAGCTGTGATATGGAGAACAGAGGGTTGGCTGAGATTACATAAAAATAAGACTGGCCTTTTAAATATATAGCATAGTACATCTCTCTGGAGTAGAAACGTCTCAGGGGGGCATTAGTCCAAACTTCACTCAAAGCAGGAACCCCTTCTAAAGCATCCATTACAGATCAGCTTCAGCTTGAAGATCTGGAAGCTCGCTCTCCTACAAAACAGTCTATTCTTTTTCATTTGGTTGCAGCTGCAGTCGTGCACCACAGAACGATGTTTTGGTCAATCATGGACTACATATGCAATGGTAGTCCCATAACATCAATACCAGATAGCTAGGTTTGTAGTAAGCTATACCACCTAGGTTTGTGTAAATATACTCTATGATGTTTGCACAACAAGAAAATTGCCTATAGACACATTTCTCAGAACATATCCTCGTCATTAAGTGATGCGTGACTGTATTATAAACTTCTTATAATGAACCCTAATAATTGGCCTCCTATGAGTTTTGTCCATTGTTCCCAGTTCTGCTCTCTAGAATCTCACAGATTAAAATTAATCTTTTGTCTACATGTGGTTAATTTTACGTGTCAACTTGACTAGGCCATGGGGTGCCCAGACATAGGGTCAAACATCATTCTGGGTGTGTCTCTGAGGCTGGTTCTAGAGGAGATAAATATTGGACTCAGGAAGCTGAGTAAAGCAGATGGTCCCCTCTAATAGAGGTAGGCCGAATCCAATTGATTGAAGACCTGAATAGAACAAAAAGGCTCAGGAAGAGGGTACTCCTCCTGCCTGACTACTTGAGCTGGGACATTGGTCTTCTCCTGCCCTTGGATACAAACTGAAAAACCAGCTCTTGTTGGGTCTTGAGCCTGCAGGCTTTCAGACTGGAACTGTGCCATCTGCCCTCCTGGGCTTCCTGCTTGCCATCTGCAGATCTTCTCAGCCTGCATATTCACACGAGCCAGTTCTTTATAATAAATCTCATATATATATATAATCCCCTATTGGTTTTGTTTCTCTCAAAAACCCTGACTAATAAATACAATGTGACATCCCTGAGGCAGGGGTTTCCCTATGTAGTTTGATTTAGGAGTGACTGATATCCTAAATGTATCTCATCCCTTCCGGCCTGTCAGAAATCTTTGGCATTGACTATAGCGCTTTGGATTACAGGATTGTGCCTCCATGAAACTTTGGTTAAATGCAAATTTATATGAGAATTATGTGAGAAAATCATACATAATTCAAGGATAATTTTTGTTCTACTATCAGAGCTTTGGGTAGAGAGATACAGAGAAGTACATTTTGATGTGGGATATAGAAGGTTTGATAAGAGAATTAATGCAGGACGTTAGGCTTTTCATAAGTTTCCATAACTCAGGCTTCTAGAAACCCTGGGGTGGCAGGAGGTGTTTGAGATGGGCGAGGGCACAAGAAGGCACACAGAAGACTTCTGATCATCAATTCTCTTCTCAGACTGGCCCAACACAAAGAGAAATATCGACTGATGATTTTAACTGGTGTCTAGTTTACACATACTTCTAAAAGAAGTTAATAAATTTAACATTTTTGTATACATTTTTTAGATGTGGACTATTTCCTTTGGTCACTTTTTATGTGGTGAATCCAGCTGTTAAGAACAGAAACAACAGAGCATTCCTTGGCAATAAGACGTACATTAATAACTGTCTTGGTTGGCAACTTTAGGATAAAATTCTCTAAGAGTATAAGTCAAGGAAATAAAACCTCATGGCCCTACATTGCAATCATCCATGTCGTGTTGGATTTTAAGACCTTAGGGTAGAGAGATTCCTCATGACTTAAACATGCAAATAATTTTTTTGTGTTAGCAAGACTAGTTATTTCCTGGGAAAAATTAATATCTTCATGAGAAGATTACTTTCACCTATTTTTAATCTTGGCTATTTCTCTTTATGTATTACTCAACAATTAATGAGTTAATAAAAAAGATTTAAAAAATTATAATAGGCACTGAGTCATTTGAAGATCTAGACATCTTAACTGGATTCGTTTATTTAACTTACATGACTCTACATTTGATAGTAATTTTCCTTTGGCTACACATGAATAGCATTTCTAACTTCAATCAACTTTATTTATACACATAACTCTATGAAGAGAATGTGCATCATTTCTAACTTATGGACCATAATTGTTATTATTATTATTTTTTGCTGAGGTCTATTAGCCCTGAGCTAACATCTGTTGCCAATCTTCTTCCTTTTTTTTTTGCTTGAGGAGGATTAGCCCTGAACTAACATCTCTGTCAATCTTCCTCCACTTTATATGCGGGTCTTTGGCACAGGGTGGCTGATGAGTGGAGTAGGTCTGCACCTGGGATCTGAACCCGCAAACCCGGGCCGCTGAAGCAGAACATGCAGAACTTAACCACTATGCCATGGGGCCAGTCCTCCAAAATTATTTTTAATAATCTTCTATCATACCAAATTATTAGTATTTATTTGAATCTCATCCTAAATTTCATCACCTTTTAAAACAGAGAACACTGGTCTGAAGCTCAAAAGAATTGGTTGAAGTCCAGGAATTAAACTATGGCTGGGTGACCTTGAGGAAAGTCATAAAATCTTTTCAGGGCTATTGTTTTTCCTTAGATGCCAAAAGGGGCTTTAAAGAATATGATTTTTGAAACCACTCTCAATAAGAATATTCTACAATTAGAATGTAGTCTTTCGATCCTAGTTATATGTATGCTTTTGTCTTAACAATATTTATTTTTAAAAATTCAGGTGAATAAAAAAGTACGTGCAATTTCAAATACCTATAGGAACGCCTAGGAAGAAATCAAGCCATCTTTAGCACATTAACTTTACAACCCGTAGCTTATAAAGTGATGCGAATTGTCAGAAGTGGGGTAGGGGTAGGGAAGACATCCTCCCTTCGTCATGCAATGTTCTACCTCTAAAATTGAGTCAGTGCATTGACGCTACTTCACCTTCCGAAGATCTTAGGAGGGAGCTTCTCTCCCCACTCCAGATTCCCTGCTGGTACTGGGCTTACATCCCAGTTTGAGTGGGAAATTAGCTTTTCATTGAATTGTGAGTTAAACTGTATGGTTTTGACTGATAGGGAAGATGACAGCCAGGCCACTGGCACACCCAAACAATCTGCAGGATTTCCAGCAAAAGCACCAAGAACTCACAAGGAATGCTCTGGAAAGTCGTGGTGGTTTCTCTTCTCTTACAGACATCAGATCCTATGGAGACTCTATAGCCAGCATTGCACTCGGGGTGTGTACCTGTAAAAGGATGGAGAGAGTCAGAATAAACTGAGAGAAAAAGATATTTGAGCTTGAATTATCCACACTGAATGTCTCCTTTATTATTTTTTTTGGTTCTTAACATCCTGAGAATAAACATCTATGAATTATTTATTCATTGAATAATCATATTTGGAGTGTCTACTGAGTCCATGTTAATGCAAGGGACGCAAAGACAGATATTACAAACATTGCCCTTAAAGAAATGATCTGCTTGAAGAGACAGGCAGAAAAGTAAATATGGCATAAATGCACTAATTGAAGTGTGATAACACAACGCAGTGATAACACAGAAGAATCAGGGAAGGTTTCACTGCGGCAGCAGTGCTTGATCTGGTTCTGAAAAAGATGAGTAGCATTCCTCCAGGTGGGCTTGGGCATTGAGGATATGAGGCAGAATCAGGATTCTGAGTAATGGAAACAGCACGTACAAAGGCACATGAGACTAGAAAGGCCACAGTCTTTGGGGCAATTGCAGAAAGTAATTGTTCTGTTTGGAGCTTAAGGCGTGAGAGGAAGCTGGAGAGGTAAGCTGGAAAGGGAGGCTAAAGGTAGGTATTTTAAGCTAATTTTTGACATAGAGACATATATTCTGTTATTGGATGTCAACAGCAGGCACTGAATATAAAACAAAGACATTTTTATTCTCCTAAATTGTTGGTGACAATTTTACCAATTTTGTGGTAAAATTGTATATTGAAGTCTTTAATTTGTTCAAATTTACCATACAGGCAGTACCATGCAGGTTCTACAGGAAGGCAAAACAAGTAAAATACAATCAAAACTCAAACTCATCAATTCCATACATTCTTCCACTCAATAATAATATGTCATAGCATGAGCATGACGTGAGAGTTTGTACTCTGCTCTGTCCTCTCTTGGTCTCAGTGCTGGAACATCTCTCACAGTGTCTCTCTCTCCTTAACAGATTAAGATTGTGAAACAATTTATATCTTTACTAGATTTAGATTTTGTAAAAAATACACATTTTCAAAACATAATTTTTTACGCAATCTAAAGGCAAGTCAACACACTTGTTTGGTGCTCAACCAAAATATAAATGACATATTCCAATGCTGGAGAAAAACAAAAGATCTGCATTAGACTATTTGAGTGATGTTATATTAATCCCCAATGTGCACATTCCTAAGAGATTTAGGCTGTTTTTCATTTTTTACAAATTCCATCCTCTGCATCCTCCACTTTGGATTCTAACTTGGGTGAAAGATGTAACTCCATGATATTCTGTTTATTTTTTTTAAATTCTAGTAATTAAAATTAGAACTTTGAGAAAATAGACAAGAGTTAATGATGCAATAATTCTATCAGTATGAACCATTATTTAACATTTATGAATATTTGTAAGCCTTGTGATATCCCTTCTCTAAAAAGCATCATCATCGTTGTCATCAACATCACCATCAGGAACACATTCTTCAAGAGGAAAACAATAGAATAACAGCAAAACTTGGAGAAAGTAGAGTCTGCCCTGTAACACTCATGTTCTTTGACCTCGGTGAATATGTCATTAATGCCATCCTGATTGTGGCCTATATTATGCTTTCATTAAAATTCCTTATTATCTCAGAAAATATGTCCAATCTTTTAAAAGGAAGACCATAATTTATCCAGGCCCATGACACTCTGTTGGCTGGGGGGTGGGATTTCCCAACCTTTTGTTTTAGAGACGACAGGATGGTTTTGATAAATATTTGTAAAATTTCTACAGTGATACATTCCTCTAGAAAAGCCTATCGCAACTGGGAAAATCAGTTGAATATCAAGAATACTGATATTACTGAATCATCTTTTTCTCCACCCAGAAGAATACTTAATAGATAGCATGGATCTGCATCTCTTCAATCATTCGTGTAGAAGGCAGAGTCTGGGTGTGGTGAGATCGTGAAGAAAGTCTGAAAAATGGAACTTGGTTAGGAAATTTATTGGGATATATGAACAGATCAGATCTTAATTGAAAATAGTAAGCCACACTCAGTCCAAAAATACAAGCTTCTCTAGAACAGGAATGTTGGCTATTGCTCTATTGTGGCTCTTCTGGGCTGTAGATTCTCACATTGTGTGCAATATCACTGATGTGGGAAAGAGTAATATGTGTTGATAATTGAATCTACTATCCACTGAACTGCATAGTGATGGATATTAGATGGAAGATGGTCTATAACCTCAAATCATTATTATTTCATCTTATGAATGTTTAAACCAAGCACGACTTTTTAACAAGAAGTAAAATATGGACTTTGCTTTTCTGAAATAGATAGAACATCACACAGCTTAAAATGGAAGAATAAATTAGGAGAGGGGTGAAAAATCAAGAGTTCCTACAATACATAAATAAATGAAATACCATCTAGAAAATCTCTAAGGTGCTGTATTTTCCTCTATGACTGCTCCTTTCTTATATTTAAACTGCTAATAAGATACTCATAAATTATTGACCAAAATGTTGATATTGTATTCTGTGTGTGAAAAATATGAAAAGGGTCTTAGGAGCAAATGAAGGGAGATCAGAAGAGGCCACAATGGAGAAGTCAAGCTTCATTTGAGTTTGAAGGAGTAGAACTTAACCTTAGACAAAAACAAGGATGACCTCTTCATGCAGAGGAAACAGAAGATCAGAGGCATAGAAGGGGGACTGTCTATGCCTCATTTGGGAGTCAACAGGTAGGCTGATGTGGCCTGAGGACAGGGGTTATTTTGAAGATAGGAGACAATTAGATTGAGGACAGAATGTAGAAGGCTGAGAATGCTAGGTTCAAGAAATTAATATAAAAATAAGATTTAAAACTCTTAATCACAGAGATTTCACTAATATTTTTATGATTTTACAGTAGGAATTTTTTTAAAAAGCAAAAATTATAAACCATAAAAGTGACACATTTCACTAAACCAAAATTTAAACTTCTACATGATAAAAATGAAAAGATAATGAACGGTACAGCAATTTTGGAAGACAGTGGCAGCTGCTTACAAAACCGAACGTATTCTTTCCTTACAATCCAACAATTGCACATCTTGGTATTTACCCAAATGAGTTGAAAACGTACGTTCACACAAAAACCTGCACACAAATGTTTAATTCATCATTGCCAAATAAGTGCTTTATTCATAATTGCCAAAACTTGGAAGCAATCAAGATGTCCTTCAATAGATGAATGGATAAACAAACTGTGGTAAATTTATACAATGGAATAGTGTTTAGTAATAAAAGAAACGAGCTATCAAGCCACAATAAGACGTGGAGGAGGGGCCGGCACTGTGGCTGAGTGGTTAAGTTCACGTGCTCCGCTGCAGGCGGCCCAGAGTTTCATCGGTTCGAATCCTGGGCACGGACATGGCACCGCTCATCGAGCCACGCTGAGGTGGCGTCCCACATACCACAACTAGAAGGACCCACAACTAAGAATACACAACTACGTACCTGGGGGCTTTGGGGGAGAAAAAGGAAAAAAATAAAATCTTAAAAAAAAAAAAAAAGACATGGAGGAAACTTAAATGCATATTGCTAGAAGCCAAAAGGCTCCATACTGTATGAGTCCAACCATGTGACATTCTGGCAAAAGTAAAACTGTGGAGACGGTATAAAGATCATTGGTTGCCAGGGGTTCCGGCGGAGGGAGGGGCGAATAGATGGCACACAGGAGAGTTTAGGGTGGTGGAACTATTCTGTGTGATACTATAATGATGGATGCAGTCATTATATATTTGTCAAAACTCATAGAATGTACCACACAAAGAGTAAACTCTAATGTAAACTATGGACTTTCGTTGATAACAATGTATCTATGTTGGCTCATCAGTCATAACAAATGTACCACATGAACGCAAGATGTTGATAAGGGAAACTATTGAGTGGGATCAGGAGGTAAATGCGAACTCTCTGTACATTCCATTCATCCACTGTTCTAAAAATAAAATCTATCAAATAAAAAAATATAAAGGACAACAGGAGAAAGCTGTTTGCAAGATACAGAGCAAGAGATTAGTAGCTGGAATATATGGAGAATCTCCTCAGATCAATAAGAAAAAGACACGCAATCCGATGGAAAAATGGGCAAAGGAAATTAAACCAGGCAATACACAGGAAAAAGATATTGGATGGCAAGTAAATATGTGAGAAGATGCTTGATCTCACCAGTAAACATATTCAACATTCAATAGCGCATTGATTGACCCCTACTCTGAGCCAGGCACTGTTTTAGGTGCTTGGGATTCATGAGTATACTAGACATGGAGGCTTGTGCAAGTGGAGGTAAAATTATCACAAGTAAGGCATTTCTTTTGCACTCACCATATCGGCAAAAATTAAATATCTGCTCTTATCAACAATTGGCAAAAATTTAGAAGTGCAGAAAATTTCATGCCCTGATAGGTGTAAAAAGTGGTTCAAAAATGTGAAGAAAAGTACTTGATAATATCTTGTAGAATTAAATGTGCATACCCTAATACCCCCAAAAATTACTCTTCTATGTATATAACCTGAAAAGATTCTTGCACATGTACACAAGGAAACATAAACAATAATGTTCATTACAGCATTGTTGTAATATTTTAAGAATTGTAAGCAATCAGGGAGTTGATAAATATGAGTATATACAAAAGAAGGAATATTATAAAGCAGGTAAAAGAAATTAAACAGATCTTGATATATGAACGTGGCTAGATCTCAAACCATAAATTTGAGGGAAAAAATGTAACTGGTAGAATATAGAGCATACAATAAATTGTGTTAATAAAGAATCACATAATACAATGCTATATATTGTTCTTGTATATATATGTATATACAGGGATGTATAAAATTTTTTTAATAGATCAGAACAATCTCCACTAAAAGGATAATATTGGCTGTGCATGGTGAAAGCAGAGGGGAATGGAAAGTGGGTATGAGGAGTAAAAGCAACTTCAAACTTCATCTGTAATGTTTTATTCACTTCATTCAAAAATGATGAAATAAACAC